AGGATGGAGGAGGAATCGGAGGAGGAGGAGGAGGGAGAGGGGGAGGGGGAACAAGCTAGGTGCGTTCGCGTCATATCTGACCTTTTAACCGTCCCTCCCATCCCTTACCATGGCGTAGATCTCTTCTCTATTCGCACAATCGGATGTCGTAGCATGGTGTTGAAGATCAACGCGTAGAACGACATAGCATGGCGTGGCGACGACCCAAAGTGGCCAGGGGCTTCTACGGCCCAAAAATCGACGAATCGACACCGAATGTGTAATCACTTCCAATGATTACTTCGGGGGGGTATTTTCTAGATGTGGGGGGCCTATTTGGAAGGACCGAAACCACTCCGTGGCATGGCACTGGAAATAATAACGCCAGCGCTGCAGCGGGAGCACAACTTGGAACGAGCGGAAGCGCGGACATGAGGCCAGCGTTGCAGCGGGAGCACGATTCGGAGGACGCGGAGCTTGACATAGCATGGCGTGGCGACGCCCCAAAGTGGGGAAAGTGGGGGGGTATTTTGCGACCCAAAAAGTCAACGAATCGACACTGAAGGTGTAATCACGTCCGATGATTTTTTCGGGTGTGCATTTTTTAGCTTTCAGAGCCTATCTGGAAGGACCGAACACCATGCCGTGGCGTGGCGCTGGAAATAATGACGCCAGCGCTGCAGCGGGAGCACGATTCGGAACGAGCGGAAGCGCAGAAATGATTCTAGCGTTGCAGCGGGAGCACGATTCAGAACGAGCAGTGGCCCGAAATGAAGCCAGCGCCTCAGCGAGAGCAGCATTTTGAACAAAAACAAAACAAAAAAAAAAAAAACAAAAAAAAAAAAAAAAAACGAAAACCCGTTTCCAGGGAATCCTGTGGAAAAAAAAAAAAAAAAAAAAAAAAAAAAAAAAAAAAAAAAAAAAAAAAAAACGCGAAGGGGGGCTGGCCATTTCCCGGACGTCACCAGGGGAGAGAGCAGAGTAGCACTCATATTGTGTAATTATGGAGGGAGGGAGGAGGAGGAGGAGGAGGCGGAGGAGGAGGAGGAGGAGAAGGAGAAGGAGAAGGAGCACGCGTAGGCGGATGGGGAAGAGGAGGAGGAAGAAGGAGGAGGAGGAGGAGGAGGGCGAGCAGAAAAGCCAGATTCCTCTTGGATGTTTCTCGGAGTCTCTTCGGATGCCTCTTGACAGCTTCTTGTACATAAGCATATTGGGTCGTCTTGGGGGCCTCTTGGCGGTTCCAGGGGGTCTCTTGAAGCGTCTTGGGTGCTTTTTGGCCGCTTCTTGGGCGCCTCTTGGTGCCTCTCGGGGCCTCCTGGGCGCCTCCTCGGGCATTATTGGGAGCCTCGGGGTCAGGGCCATCTCGGAGGAGATCGATTAAAGGGGAGAAGGGGGGCGGTGCTCAAGTAGAGTCCCCCCCAAGAAGCCTAAATGGGCCCGAACCCGAGTGATATTCAATGATTTGCGCCTTCTCGCCGAGACTTGCTTGGACGCTCCAATTGGTCGCGAAACGCCCGTTCCAGACCCAGGAGGACGGGGTGGGGGCAGGGGTAAGCCCCTCCCCGAAGGGGAAGAAAAGGGCTGGAAGAGGAAACTCGCTAAACCACTCACGCCCTAAAGAGCCGGTTGGTTGTATGATGATGCTCGCACATGGGATGTATATGCCAACTTGCAAGCCACCCGTCTCAGGTCGCGCAAGTTAGGTCCGAAAGCAATGCTGCACATGTGTTAGTAGCGGGCGTCTAGGGCGCACGTTGCTTCGAAAGTGCGCCAGATGTTTCTTGTCATACACACTCTCGTGTGGGGGCCTTGGCTATAGGAGTTCCACAGGGCTTTGTCTCCGTCTGGAGACCAAGGAAGTGGGGCGAAGAGGGGTGTGCCTGTTCATGTCCGTTTTGGGACATGAGTGGTGTGTTATCGCAGCCAGTTTCCACCACGCCCGCCCCCAAAAGAGGTCCTATCTTCGCGGCGTGTGTCTTCATTTGTCCGAGGAGGGCCGTTGAAAATTTATACAAAGCGAGAGAGTGGCCTGCGGTTGTCACGCGCTGGCTTTGAGCTAACCAAGCTGATTATGAGCATAGTGTCAGTGTGTCGGAGAGTCTAATTGCCAGGCGCTTCTTCGAGTGTTTGTGTGAGGCCTTCGAATCAGGGGTTCAAGGGCCAGGTTGCGAAGTGGTTGGTGAGAGCTGGAGAGCTGGATTACAAGGCTTTTGTTCGAAACTTACGTTCTGCTGCATGAGCGTTCCGATTCGAATGATGGGCAACATGGGACGTGCTGGCTCATCAACAGTGGCTTCAGCCATTTGGGCTCAGGACTCTGCTGTACCTCTCGTCGCAGACAGCCCAACGCCTTGGAGCGGGCGGCATGCTCGAGGGAGGCCATGGCGCTTCGACGGAGCGGCTCTCTAGAGGAACAAAGATCAGTATAAACATAAACATTTGGAGCTCCGTGCGGATTTCCTGGATCGGCGCTGGACCCCACTCCTTGTCGCGCGGAGCGCGCCAGGGGCGGCGCCGGAGGCGCCCCCAGGGAAAGCCCCGCGCCGATTCGTGAAATCCGCGGAGAGTTCCAACCGTTGATGTGTGTGCCGGTCTTTGTCCCTCGACCCTCATGGGAGGCCATGCTCTCCAACTCCGTCCTGGGCCTGTGGCTCGCCCTCGGCTCCGGTGCCTTCCTGCAGCTCGGGGCACTGGCCGCAGTGACCCTGCAGCCGGGCACCAAAAGCAGGCGCTTGGCCTTCCTGCTCGCCAGCACCTCGGGCTGCATGGTGACGGCGATGCTCGTGGAGGTGCTGCCCCGCTTCTGGAGGGCCGAGGAGGAGCACTGGGCCTTCGGCATGGCCGTGTTCGCGCTGACCCTGCTGGGGCTGATCACGGCGGACTGGCTCATGAATGAGCCGCTGGTGCGCCTGCGCAGGCTGCAGGAGGCGCTGACGCGCCATGCGGAGCAGCACCACGCCTCGGAGCCCGCTGCGGTCGACAACAAGGGCACCCGGCTCGCTGACTACATCATCAGCGGCTGGCGGATACAGCCCGTCGGCTTCGCAGGGGCGGTCCCTGCGGAGGACGCGCCGAGCGCCTCCGCGGATCCTGAGGTGGGGGAGCGGGCGCCGACGCACGAGATCGTGCGCGGCGTGAATGAGCACAACAATGCCAGGCACTTGCGCCAGCTCGTGCGCAGGATCCTGCAGCTGAGGTTGTGGGAGGAAACCCTCGAGGGCACTATCTGCCGGGTGACATGCCGTTCGGTCGTCGAGCTCGATGCAACCATGGATCGCGAGCAGTTCCACGGCGTCATGAGGCGGTTGATGGGCACAAGCCGGGCAAGGAGCGACCTGATTTGGGAAGAGCTCTGGAAGGCAAACGACCACGATTGGCCGAGCCTGCGAACACTCGCAGTCGCAGTTGATCGTCATAGCCGTTTCAGGCGGGGCCGCACCCGACTGGACACGGCTTCGGAGGACCCGCTGGACTACGAGGTGCCCGCGCTGACCATGTGGGCCTTGGATGCTGCCGACAGGCTCTTCAACCGGAGGGCCCGCCAGGGGTCTCGGTCGGACAATGCCCCACAGGACAGGGTGCCCACACCGATGTCCGCGAATTCCTCTGTGGATCTTGGCGGTGCCTTTGCGGCGAAGATGGCCCGCACGGCGCATTTGCAGCGTGTCATAGAGAGGGTCAGGCCTCATCTCGAGATCTTGTTCGTCACGCTCGGCGCCGCCGCTCTTCATGTCCTCACCGGTGCTTGCCTCGAGCTGGTCGTAATGGCAGATGTTCGCGCTGGGGTGGTCCTCGCAATGTTTCTTGCTGTCCGGAACTTCCCAGAGGGAGTGGTGTTCGCCAGGGATATCGCCATGTCATCTTCGGCCGGGGAGTGGGTCTCACCGGGGCCGTGGTCCAGGTTCTGCCGCCGCGAGCTGTTCGCGGGGACCGTCGTCGGGTTGTGCGATTGCCTTGGGGCGAGCGTAGCGTTTGGTGTAGTCAAGACGGTCGGAAAGGTTCCACCGCCATATGTGCTAGGCTTGGTATACTTCGTGAATGGAGGCTTGCTTGTAGGGCTTGGCATTCTCAAGTACTTGAGGGCCGCAGTGGCATTTGACCCCGCGCAACAGCTCCCAGCGATTGCGTGGATGTTGGGCATGGTAATCACCAGCATGGTCATTTGTGTTACGACCTTGCAGACATGAGCGCGTTGAGCAACGACTACGTAGGCTCTCGCTTTCAGGCAGGAGGGGCCACCACTGTCCCAAATGTTGACCTGTGTTTCCGAATTCGGGTTGAAGCTTGGGCGGCAAGGAGCACTGATGGTCTGCACATTAGTAACGTATATCTTTATTTTCGGTCAGCCTGCCCCCTCGTCAGATGCACGTTACAGAGATTCCAGAGCGTATGGTTCCACGGTACAGCCGCTCAATTGAAGCGCGCAGCGTGGGATTTTCTGCGTCCACAGTCTTGCTTGAGCGCTCTAAGTTCCAAGTGGTCATATGGATTCGCTTGCGTTGCTACCGGCGCGGGACAGCGGACGTTGAATTCGGCTGCCTTTTCTTAAATGGCGCCATACAACATCGCATTGCTCCACGAAGCGTAACGACGAAAAGGAATTGCCAGATGCGACATGTGATGATACGATGCCATCATTGGAGAGCAAGCGATGCGATATCACACAGTTCTGTGCAATGCACAGATGTCTTGAAATACAATAACACATGCAGCGTAAGAATTATGGGGAGGGCAAGGCGAGCAGGGTAGAACCAGGACAGACATTGATAAGACAAATCAGATGGGTCCCGCCGAAGCTTCGGTCGATTAGATCAAGTTGAAGTGTTGCGGCCGGCGTTTCGGGAGACGCGCCGATTTCGGGCCGATCTGACACCCCAGAGGGGTCCGAGACCGTCGCGTTCACTGCTTCCGCCCTTGCGAACAGCGCCGACGTCGAGAAGTCATGCACGCGCTCATGTCCTGACAACAAGGAGACGTACCCGCATACGTGATTCTCCTGCCGTGTGATCGCGCGCGGACAGGCGCCGCGCGTCCATCATCCGCCAGCGCTGGGGCTCCAGCGGCGCCGCGTCACAGGCGCTTGCCGGGGCCGACGGGGAACCGTTGCGTGCCAATGCTAAGAGAAGTCCCCCTCCCCGCCGCCAGCCCCTGATGGCAGTAGGACGTCGCATAGACGTCACGTGACGTAGGCGTAAGTCGTGCGTGTCCCTCTACAGGAGAAGCATTCAAAAAAAAGGCTAGAATGGGGGCAATGTGTTGATTCTGTTTCGACTATCTTTAACTCTTTGGGACTAATTTGAAGCTGTCCTCCAAAACCCGCCTGTAGAAGGACATGCCTGACCTAGACGTAGGCAGCAGGTCTGTGGCTGCTCAAAGGGAGGGTTTGGCGCACTTTTTCGCAGCCGGGGTCCAGCGGGAGCCTCAAGAAGCTGGCGGCTCTGAGAAAGTGAATGGCCCCAATTGGCCGGAGCTAGAATTAAGTCGGGCCTGTCCCTCTACAGGAGGACTATCCAAAAATAGTCGAAAAATAGTCCGGGGGCGATTGTTGAGTATATATGTATATATAGATACAGAGTTGATCATTGGTTATTGCGAAGGCCTTACGGCCGGTGCCGCCGACCCTGGAGGCCTCACGAGGCGTGAGGTTGCGGCCAGGGGCGCCCGTGCCGCCTTCATGGGGGCGGCGGGCGCGGCTCGGCCCACCGGCGGGGCGGCGCGGGCTGGCTCAGTGCGCTGTGGTCGTCGTCGTCGTCGTCATCGTCGTCGTCGGGTGTGCTGTCACACGACGACGGCGGCGGCGACGACGACGACGACGACGACGCTGACGTGGGTGAGATTCCTGGGATGCTTCGTGGGGTCTCTTTGGAGCGCTCTTTCGGGTCTCTGGGGAGCAGTTTGGGGGCCTGTTGGGAGTCGCTTGGGGGCCTCTTGGAGCTTCCTGGGGGCCTCCTTGGGGCCTCGTGGGGGCCTCCTGGAGCCTCTTGGGGCCTCCTGGGAGCCTCTCAGGGCTGAGAGCTCGACATGTCAGGTCGGGTCCCGCATCTGGGCACCCTCTTGGAGCCGTCTTGGGCGCCTCTAGGACCGTCTTGGAGACGTCTTGGGCCGTCTTTGCGCTTTCTTGGGCCGTTTTGGGACCCTCTTGGAGGCCTCTTGGGCCGTCTTAGGGCGATCTTGGGGGCCTCTTGGCGTGTCTTGGAGCGTCGGGAAGGGGAAGAGTCGAGAACGCCAAAATCATTCAAAAAACAATAGGAAATCAATGAATTTAGCTTCTTGGGGCCGTCTTGGGAGTGCTCCTGGTAGGCCTCTTGGAGCGTCTTGCAGGGCTCTTGGGTCGTCTGGAGTCCGTCAAGGCGTCTTGGACAAGTCGTTCGGCGATTCGGGGCCCTTTTGGACCGTCTTGGAGGCCTCTTGGGGCACTCTTGGCCCGTCTTGGAGCTTTTCTGGGCCCCGGGATCCCCGGGGAGGGGGCGTCGTATCTGACGCGCGCCCCCCCCCGGGACCCCCCCCCGGGACCCCCCCGGGACCCCCCCCCGGGACCCCCCCCCCCCCTCCCGGCGGGGGAGGGATCAAAGGGAAGGGGCTTCCCTTCGACTCAATTACGACGTTGCTCAAGTTCGGTTTGGCTGGCGCGCTTGAGGAGGAGGCGCTGGGGAAGGAGAGGGGAGCGGCGACGGGCTTTTCTGGGCCCCGGGATCCCCGGGGAGGGGGCGTCGTATCTGACGCGCGCCCCCCCCCGGGACCCCCCCCCGGGACCCCCCCGGGACCCCCCCCCGGGACCCCCCCCCCCCTCCCGGCGGGGGAGGGATCAAAGGGAAGGGGCTTCCCTTCGACTCAATTACGACGTTGCTCAAGTTCGGTTTGGCTGGCGCGCTTGAGGAGGAGGCGCTGGGGAAGGAGAGGGGAGCGGCGACGGGCCCAGGGAAAGGGGGGGCGCAGGGGAAAGGAGACGACAGAGACGACGACTAACGAATGACGGAGATGACGAGTCGAACGGACAAGCCCCTCACACACGCCGACAGGGTCGGCGGATTTTTCGTCCACAATCCGCCTGTAGGGGGACACGCCCGACCTAAAGCTAGAGGCAAGTTGAGACAGGGCACTTCTCAGAAGAATTCTTGACGCTTCGGGCATTCCCACCAGCCCATCCACAAACGATTACCACACGAATCGCCTTGATCAGAGAAGGTCAGGGAAAGGAGGAGGAGTGAGGATGAGTACGAAGGTATGGGTTAGTGTGGCGACTGAGAAACATGGGGACGACGACGAGAAGGGGATCCCTGGATCATCTCAGGGCATTGCAGGTATAGCGCGTTCGTCCTGGTCAGAGGACGCGGGGCATGTGACAAAGCCAAAGGACACCTACCACATTTACATCCCACAGCGGGCATTGCAGGGTCCCATCAGTCCAGTTGGTGTCCCGTCGGGGCGTCCCGACGGTGTCCTGCATCCCTGGGGTGCGGGCACCCTCCCCCCCCGAAGACAGCTTGGCGGCCACCCTCTGCCTCTCCTCCCCTTCGGCTTGGGCGGCGGCGTGTCAGGCCCTTCCTTCCTCGGGGGGAAGGCGGGAGATCTTTGGATGAGGCTCAGGCACGGCGCAGGCCAGCAGCACACACACACACCCACACACACACACACCCACACCCACACACACACACACACAATTGCCACGGCAGCCTCCGAGCAGGCGCAGGGTTGTCGCCCCGGCCAGAGGCCAGGGAGCATGCGACAAGGGCAAACGACGCCTACCGTATGTTCATATTTCTGGGTATCGCAAGCTCAGTCTGCACTCGGACTCACACAGCCTGGTTACAGTCTTACCAAGACACTAACACCTGCACGAGCTGATCACATTGACTCCGAGGTTGGCACGGTGGACCAGGAACCCTTGCACGATCAGCAGCACGAAGAAGGAGCGCTTCATGCCCATCACGAAAACGGGCGCTGCGAAGTGTTCAGGTGCTTCTTCGGCGGGGGGGGGGAGGCGGAGGAGCGTTTCCGCCAAACCTTGACCGGCGGACTCCACGCCAAACCCGCGCAGAGCCCGCCCTGCGCGCGGCCGCCGCGCGCAGCACGGGAGAGCGTGGCGGCGCCAGCCGGCTTCACACCGCCGAAGCTTGGCAGCGGTGAGGCGGGCACTCCCGCTGCCTCCACCCCCCGCCGGGTCGGTGCCACCATCGGCCCAGCAGGGACGGCTGGCCTCCGAGGCCGAGGAAAGAGGGCCCTGCAGAGGGCTACCGAGGCCTCCGGCGCTCGGTCGGGGCCCTCCGCCCTGGACGCTGCAGGTTCCTCCCCTGGGGGCGGCACTGGCCCTGGGCCTCCCGGGGGCTGGCCTCCGCCACTCGCCCTGCGACGGTGCCCGGCAAGGTCTTCTCCGGATCTGCTGTTCTTCGTTTTCTTCGCTCGCCGCCTCTACCGCCAGCGCGGCCGCCGTAGGGAGCCCCCCCCCCACATACACACACACACACACACACACACACACACACACGCACACGCACGCACACACACACACACACACACACACACACACACACACGCTCTTAAGTCGGCAGCGCAGAGTAGCCTCAGGCGCGGTCGGCAGGTGGAGGTGCCAATTGCGAACGAACTTAGTCGAACGCGCCATGATGAAAGAATCCAGCCACGGCTATGCAGATTTGTGGTAGATAAAATGAGGTGCTGCAAAGCCAGGATGCAGCGGCCAACGAGCCTGCGGAACGGAAGTTCAACGCAAGGAGTTGAAGCGCAAACAGCAGTCTGGTGTTAATGAGCCAGAGAGGCGACGAAAGAGCTGCAAGGCTGCCAGACCAGCCAGCATGGCAGCGACGCAAAGCGCGCAGCTGCGCGACAAGGCGACGCAACCGACCTTGCAACAAGCACGACAAAAGCGACGTGCAAATGCAAGAAGACGGCGTGATGAACCACACGCGGCCGAGGCTGACATCGCCTTGACCAAGAACAGAGCTTCACGCGGTGGCGCACATGGCTGGTAGACAGCGCTGGCAAATCCATGGGTGGTGGACAGGCGCGTGCGTGGCCAAGGTGCCGTGCAGACGCCACCGTTAAAAGAGCAACCCCAACGCAGCCAAAGCCGCAAGGGCTACCATGGGTAGGTGGAGCCGAAACGAGATAAAAAAAACCCTAGGCACAATAGAGACTGTACGCGTCACTTCAAGGTCGCACCACTCCGACCAACGGCGGCAAAGTCATGAGAAACACGTGCAAAGCGAACCCCCACACACATACATAAATATTTTGTCGCACATACATACATTTTTTGTTCGGTCGTCGCAGGCGGGAGCACCTCCTCACCGTCAAACGCCCGCGCGGCAAGCCGCGGGCGCGCCCAGAAGACAGTGAAGGAAAAGCGAAGGAAGAAGGTGCCAGCCCCTTATTGGGCAGTGGCAGGGCAGGAGGGACCAGTGGCACCCGTGCAACGGGGAGGCAGCGGGGAAGCGCCGGGCGCCCTGCGAGGCAGCGGGCGGCAAACACACACACACACACACACACACATATATATATATATATACATGCATACATACATACATACCTACATACACATACACATACACATACACATACACATACACATACACATACACATACACATACACATACGCATACACATACACATACACATACACATACACATACACATACACATACATACATGCATGCATGCATGCATGCATACATACATACATACATACACATACACATACACACACACATAGACACATAGACACATGCATGTATATGCATGTACATAAGCATATACATAAATGTGTATATAAATACATATACATGCACATGCACATACACCTATAAACATACATAAACACGTACATATATGTATACCTATACATATAGAGCGGTAGCGGCCTCGCGCGAGGCGACGATCCGGGGCAAGTCCGAGCAACCACGCACACACGCACACACACACACACACACTCACACTCACACTCACACTGACACATACAAACACACACACACGCACATACACACACACACACTTACACACACACTCACACACACACTCACACACACTTACACTTACACTTACACTTACACTTACACTTACA